GCATGCACACACAAATAAAAAATAAAATCTGTGGAGATATAACCACCTGCTCATGCATGAGCACAAAGTTCTGTGGAACAGCAGTTCCCAAATCCTAACCCCATTTTCAAACAGAAGAGCCTTGTTCATTTTTATATTTTTCTCAATTAACGAAAGATAAAAATACATCCAAATGTTTTTATTCCCATATTCTTTAGTGAACTAAGAGTGCAGACGGATATTTGTTTTAGTTTTATTTGTCTCCTAAACAAGATTGTAACTTCTGCCTCCTGCTCAACTTGAAACATGATGTGAACAGCTCTATGTGGTAGCATACAGCACTGACTCCCCCCACCACCACTGCCAACAACCACATTACGAATTCAACACAGTGTGTCTGGTTTGCCAGGAATAATGTTATTTTATCTGAAAATTGTTTCCTTCTGCACATCTCACTGCTCTGGTTCTAACTCCATTATGCCAGGAATCAGCACTTTGTGGGGAAGAGAGGAAATCCATTACTGTGTTTCCCTGCTGGGTAGCTGAGGCAAAAATGTGGTGAGCCAGCTCGAGAAATGTGAATGTTATGTTCTTGTATCATGTGTTATTGTTTGACCCTTTGCTGTGGGTATCTGAATAGCTGGTGAACTTGTCAGAGATTCTTGTAGAAGCTTGGTTGGTTTCATGTATCATGTGTCCTAAGAGAGTGTACATCTGTGCCTTAATAGAGCAAGCATTTGGGAAACCGAGATTCAGGTTTCTAGTGTCTTCTCTTCTGTACTTTTTCAGATACATAAGTTTGGATAATTATTTTGAAAGTCAAAGATGCTCTAGGGCTGGAGATAAGAAGCTGTAAGAGTTAGAACCCAAGTCTGGATAACAAAAGACCAGATAAAAGCAGGATGTGGTGATATACATGTCTGTAATCCCAGCATGGTGGAGGATAGAGGCAGGAGGATCACTGGAGCTGGCTGGATGCTAGCCCAGCTGAAACTTCAGTGAGAGACCCTGACTCAAGATACAAGGCAGAGAGTGACAGAGCAGAAGGTACCTGGTGTTCTCCATTGATCTTCACATAAGCACACACATCTGTGTGCACCTGCACACCCATGCATGTGCATACCATACAAGTATATGTTCCCCCACATCTATCCAACTAAAAGAGAAGTTAAAGAATACATAGCCTATTTTTTCCTACAACCTTTTTTATAAATTTACACATACAACAAACCTCTATGTGTAAACTATATGTGGTTATATGCCAGTATATGTGGATCTACCGTGTTCACTTGAGCACCACCCAACTGAACCATGTCAAAATCCATTGCAAACCTTGCTCCATTTGTGACACAATGCACCTCATCAGTCCTGGCCACGGGAATGGCCTCCTCACTTCGAACCTAAATATATTTCCCTGTATCCATCACTCATTCACCCAGATCATCCTCTGAGGACCATACAAGGTGGACCCTCAAAGGACATGTGTTCTTTGTCTCAAGGTGTTAACCTGAGGGTCTCTGATACATACCTCAAGAGCTATGGTTTTCAAACCCTTCAATAGCTTAGTCTAAATCTCCCAAAATTGCTCAAGATCTGTCTTAGAGCACAAATCATGGCTCAAATGGGATACCTATTTCAGCAAAGGTAGTGCCCAAAGGATCACCCAAGAGTGGTCAGTACCTTTATTTCTGGGTAGAAGAGAGAAAGTCTGTGTGTTCATGCATGTAGGCATGTGTGTTGAGATGAGAGTACCTCTGTGTATTCTTCAGGATCCAGCCATCTAAGGTTTTGTGTAAGAGGGTCTCTTTACCAGCCTATAGACTGCTGATTTTATTAGGTTGATGGGCCAGAAATCCTCAGAGATTGTCCTTTCTCTAACTCCCCTGTGCTGGAACTATACATGGATGTCACCATCCCAGGCTTTGCACATGGGTGCTGAGGATTAAACTGAGGTACTCGTGGCTTGTGCAACATGTGTTTTACTGACTGAAGTTTCTCCCCAGCTCCAATTTCTTTCCTTTGACAGAAGAATGGATTTTACAACCCTCTGTTGTTCTCAGAGCTATTCTTCCTTGGTCTCTTGCATAACAGATTTGTTGGCAACAGGACAGGATATGGTCTGGTACCCAGGGTTTTGATGCTAAACTCCACTTCTGACCAAGCATGCTCCTTCCCCCAAGGCTCTATGAACATCATTTCCTTGTCCATAAGCTGGAATAATAATTATGCCTGGCTCATAGAGTTGCTATGAAAATGGGAAGGAATTCTATGGAGAATTTTTTTAAAAAAAAATCCCAGTATATCTAGCATCAATGAGAGGGGAGGCCCTTGGTCCTGTGACGGCTTGATGCCCTAGTGAAGGGAAATGCTAGGGCAGTGAGGCGGGAGTGTGTGGGTGGGTAGGGGAGTACTCTCATAGAATCAGGGCAAGGAGGATGAGATAGGAGGATTACAGAGGGGAAACTGGGAAAGGGGATAACATCTGAAATGTAAATAAGTAAAATATCCAATAAAAATACATTAAAAAATCCAGTATAATATCTAACACTAAATAAAATAAAATTACTCCTAATAAGAAATTGAGAAGATTTTCCCCTACTGTAACTTATTCCAGGAAAAAGAAAACAGTCAGTTATAATAAGCAACGTTCTATCACTTTAGGGCAAATTTACACATATATTCATAAATGGCAGGAGTATTCATAACTACCAAGGTGTGTAGGTCTACACACCTTGCTCTTTTGCATTCTCTATGGACGCCAGGTTTCCTTTCAATCCTATGCAAGTTTTCCGTGCCTCTTGCCAGCTTTTTTTTTCTTCATCAGCAAATCCAAAAATTTTAAAGCACTGAAATGGAAGGGGAGGACAAAAGCAGAGGTTTTAGCTAAAAATAATAAAATTGACATCAAGACATCAAGTTACTCATGACAATTACAGATAAAGAAAAATTTTCTCAGATCTAAATGAGAATTAAAAAAGAAAATTAAACCAGCTTCGTGGCCCACATAGCCTCTTGGTAGAGTTTTATCTTTCCCTTGAGATAAAGGGCACAGATTTTTGGCTAATATCTCATGCATGCTCTTACTTTCCATTGAGATGTTGTGATGGGAATCTCCAGTTATCCTTGCACAAATTGTCCTAACGTGATGACGTAGGCAGATGTTAACTCTGTGGGCTTCAGTTAGCATCTGCCACTGTCCCACAGTGAACAGCACTGCTGGGGTTTAGTGAGAAATGATCCCCATAGGCTCATGCATCTGAACTCTTGCTCCTCAGATGATGATGCCAATTTTTGAGAAATATGTAATCTTTGGGACATGGACCTGGCTGGTGGATATAGGACATGGAGGTAGGTCTTCAGGGATGCAACTGGACCCTCTTCCGGTCCTTATCTTCCTAATCCACTACTACCCGAGGATTATCTACCATTTGTTCCCACCTCCATGGAGCCGTCTGCTCCACCTTCTTTGCTCTGATAGACTGAGTCCTCCAAATTAGGGAGCCAAAAATCTCTCTTGCTTCTATTGTCTTTTTTTTTTTTACAGCAACAAGAAAACCACCTAATACAAATACCAAGATAGAGATCAATTTTCTCCGATACCTTGTTGTTGTACAAATGCCAACCTTGCTTGCAGCCACCTGGGGTCGGGGGCGTGGTAGGCAAGGCAGTGGCATTGATGCTGCTGTTGTGTCGCTGGCAGATGAAGTTATTTGGATAACCACAGTTGATGTCATTCCAGAACCCTGTAAAAGAGAAGAGCTAAGGTAGAGCTGCGTACTCTTAGTTTAAGAAACACAACTTCAAAGATACGGTATCTCAGGTGGAGTCTCAAAAAATGGTTCAGGATAACTTTACCTTATTTTCACCTGACTAGAAGAACCTATGCCGTCTCTCTCGCTCCCGCTCACCCTCCCCCTCTCCCTCCCCTCCCCTCCTCTTCCTCTCTCTCCTTTTCCTTCTCTCTTTCCCTCTCCCTCTTTCCCTCTTCTCCTCTTTCCCTTTCCCTGTTTCACTTAGCTCATTAGAGTTCAGCTTTGCAGAAAGATTCCTACATGCTGAGCATGCTCTTGGTGTTGCAGATATATTATTAAATTATTTATCACCAATATCAGTCATATAATACTAAAATATGTGTCTATCATTAGATGTTACTTCATTTAATTCTCAACAAAAGACAAATTACATTAGCACTCCCATTTTATGCAATGAAAAAGAGCTAAAGAGAGATAAAGGTGATTAGTTCTAAGCATATTCTAGGTATTTTCCTCACATAAGAACGTACAAAATGCCTCACAATTTGGAAGAAATAAGATGATACATCATTTGTTAGCTGGCTGATGGACATCATGATAAATTTATCTTTGCAATCAGAACTGTTACACAAATAAAATTTGAAGTCTCTGTTCTTTTCCTATGAAAGTGTACTACTTGCTATGTTTAGCTTAAAGATGCAAGAAGTGGTACACATCACACCCCAAAGCACATTGAATAAGATCAGTATATGATTATGATCTACCTGAATTTGTGTACATCGTTACACAGTTTTCATCATCATTTGCAAAGTTGGGTTCCCCTGTAGCCCAAGCCACAAAATCTACTTTGCTTCCATCCATCCAACTGCAAAAGAAAATTGAAGCATTTTCAACAACCCAGACAAAATGACTGACGACAACTTAGAGGTGGGAAAAGGCCAATACATCAAGATGAAGGAGGCATGCGGTGTGTGGCAAATAGGTGGAACCTAAAGAAATAAATAGGAACTCTGAAATGTCTGGTACTAGGTATCCTTTGTGTTCCTCTGTAGTCTCCCTGATACCTTCAGGTCAAATTTACAAACAACCACAGTTAGACTGAATCTTGTAAAATAAGAATTCCCATTATTTGGGGGATTCATAGTCCATTACTAAAGAATCTACTTAAGAAGATGCAGAAGACTGATGTTAATACTGAATGCTGCTCCACCCTTTTTGCACTCCTCAGAACAAGCTCCCAATAGCACTGAAGAGTGAAACATGTAAGCCTGATTAGAGGTGGAATCCAGAAGCAAAATTCCTTCCACAGTACTCTTCAATAATGATTTCCATACAATTTAATGACATACAATTTCCATACAATTTATCAAAGAGGCGGCAAATGCATTATTTCTCATTAGCTCCATTCTGAATTTTTTTTTTTGCTTACTCCATGTTTTTATAAGTGGGTAAGCCAACAACTATTGTCATAAGTTATAGAAACTCAAGGACTATGGGAGCTAGAAATAAAAGAAATAATAAAAACCAGCCCTCTTGTTCTGGAGATGATCAAATGGGTATTTGTCCATATTTCTGTTCCCTAGAAATAACAAACTTGACTTTAGATCTCAGTTGCTCAAAGGTAGCAATCAAAATCCCACAGAATGCATGTGATTAAGATAGCTGTATGTGGGACAGATAGACACATCTGCTCTTGAAACTCAGGAGAATATATTAATGAACATTGAAAGAAACCCCTGAGATATAAGAATTCACTTTCTCAAGTACAGCCATTCCTGGCCCAGAGTCTAAGGAGGAGCAAGTCTGCTCTGGGAGAAAGTTTCAGCATGAACTTGAATACACTGACACTCCAAGGTGGGACATAGAGAAGGGGACATTTGACCCTGTGTATCAACATTGGTCCAAACAAGGTTTCAATTTTGAAAATATATTCAACATTCCTCTCTCTTTAACCTCTTCTTAGCCAATGATTTGCTGATGGTTGAGTGCCCTAAAATAAAGACTAGTAACATTTTGTGAGATCAAATCCATTTTTGAGCTTTTAAATAATTAACAATGTTGAAACTTTTAATAGCATCATCTTAAATAGTTTTACTTTCACATTTTTAAAGTTTTTTTTCAGATTCAGATTGTCATGGAACTTATAATGCATTCGGCAAAGGTCTCAAACCAACTCATATGTGTTTATCAGATCTCTTTTCTAAGCCATGATGTTAGCTTGATTTACTTACATGAACTTCTTATCCAAGCTGATCAACATGCCAATAAAATATGGTGACTGTCCACCATTCTTATTTATCTAGAATGCAAAAGTTTATAGATATAATTTATAGTCAGCTACTAAACAAATTGGGCAAAGCTTATGTATGAGTAAGGGGACCTATTTATGTTTTCCAAGGAGGAATTTGTGCAGAAATACTATAGAACTATATTCACAAGGATGAAAAATATGTTCTCAATGCAATAACCTGTGATTATAAAGTTAATACCTTAAGAAATTAACTATAATAACAAATATCTATAACAGTTGGGTGCTGAAGAATAAAAATGGCAATGGGTTTTGTATATCATACATAAGGAATTAATGTATAGCATGTATTACAAATAGGCATTTATGCAACATTAGGGCATATTCTGAGAGTTTCAAAGCAAGGCATATCCACAAAGAGGAAAATGTTAAGCTACATTTTCATATCTTTGTACTCAAGTGAACTTTTCCTTTAAATATTGAAAAAAATCTATTTTCTGCTATTCTGCTCGTTTTCTCTCTGGCAAATGATGAGGAGGCCATATGAAGATTCTTTTTGTTTTAAGCAGAAAAGAACTCAGAAAATACTAAAACAAAAATACTTTTAGAAATACTTGACAACTTGGGTACTACTGAGATTTTTATATGAATAATAAAACTGTATTATCTGTTCACAAATAATTTGAATTACATTGTATATTATACAAGTGGTCTAGGATTGAGACAACAATTAGTTAAGACATGATCCTTGAAAATTAAATTCATAAACTGAAAGGGATCATCACAGTGTTTAGACTTAACAAAGTATTTCTGGTTTCTGTGATTCTACAATTGATGTTCTAACAATAAAGTACATCCCTCTGTGTGACTCTGTATCAGGGCTTGAAATCATTTACCCTCAATTTAACCTTGCATTTATCACATAATTTGAAATTTTGTTCTAAGGTACTGAATGCAGAAATAATTGAGAGTGGGTGTGTGGGTGAGGGAACATCCTCATAAAAGTTGGAAGCAGAGGGATGGGATAGGGGATTTTGGGAGAGGGGGAGAGACTGAGAAAGGAGATAACATTTAAAATGTAAATAAAGAAAATATCCAATAAAAAAAGAAATCATCTTTCTTTATAGCATGCCATTCTACACTAATCATATCCTTACATATTTCCATAGAAACTTCTTTTCACTTTCACTTTTAATAGTAGCAAGATCACCAAAATTCTTCTTGCAAAATGCCCGTGCGTTGTCCATGGTTTCCTTCTCTTTGCTAAAATAGTACTGGTAGTCTTTGTAAATGACCCACCCATCTGCAGTAACTGGTGGATCTGAAAAAAATAAAGTCAAAGGAAAAGATATTTCTTTACTTCGATAAATTAAGGAATGTGGTAAACAAGGATAAGCACTACGTCAAAGATATGAAAAACTCCAAGACCCCAGAATGTGCAGAATGGCCTCAGGGAGAGACTAGATTGTTCCAAGCTAAATATCTACCTTCTGCCAGTTCAATGAAGACCGGCCTCTCTCCTCCTAAATAAGATCTGAGTGACTAGTTAAAAGAATTCCTGGCATCATTTTCACTGGCAGGACAGCAGACCTAGCAAGATTTATACACATGCCTGTGATGTCCAAGGGCCAAGACTTAGGAACTATGAAAACTCAGATTTCATCTACACCCCAAGACTTATACACAGATTTGAGTTGATCGTGGTAGAATTAAAGAGCCAGGAAGTTAATTCGTGAAGAAGGTGTCTAAACCCTCATTAGGAGAATGGATTTTTTTTTCTATACTGCAAAAAGCTGTAAAAGCATCTATGGCCTAATCCTAGTACGTCGGATTACAAATGGAAAGGACTTCGAAAGTGTGATTAAATTATGGATCTTGAGAAGGTGAGATTATCTTGTATTATCTGGGTGAGCTTTAAATCTAATGCAAGTGCTCTCAGAGAAGGATGCAGAGACAAAGGCCCAATGCATAAGGATGCAACGTGACAGTGAACCATATGGCACAACGCAGGGTTGAGGATGGAGCCAGGGGCATTTAGGAAAGAATTCAAGGAAACCAAGTGAAGGCCAGTGGCCAGAACCTCTGGTGGGAGAGGGAGAGGTGGTTCTGTGGATGAAAGCTTTCATTCTGACTTAGTGGAACCAATTTCAGATTTCTGACTTCTAGAACTGTCAGCACATAACTGTGTGCTGCCTTGAGCCACCAACTTACAATTGGTCATGCGCTAAACAAAACCCTGGACCCTTGGATTAGACTCATGAAATCACAAGAAAACATGCTAACAGGGCAACTGATGTGTGTTGTCTGCTCTCCAGAGATAAAACTCCAACCTTTCATGATATCCTCAAAGATACTAAGAACTCTTTGCCCACCATCTCCCTTTTCATGAAGGAAGGAAAGGAATCAGAAAAGGCTATAATTGAGAAATCAGAAAACTCAGAGACACGTACTGTCTTGCGGAGCGGGTGTGGGGTCAGGTAGTAGTGTTTTCCCTGTAAAACAAAAATACAGTTGTTAAGCATTGACAAGTGTCACTCCTTGTATTTTCCTGTGTCAATAAAACCTTGACAATCTTCCACACTTGTCCCATCTTCCCTCCAATGCACATCACATCATGTGGGAGAAAGAAAGAAGAAAGAAGGACAAATTGAGGTTTATACAAATGGATACAAATTCCGTGAGTGGTAGGCAATATCTAGGCTCAAATAGTGCCATATAAGGGAAAGAAAAGAATATTAATTTTAGAATCATGAAGTCCAGCTTCAAATCCAAAGCTATTTGGTTTTTGTCCCCCTCCCCCAACTATAAAAACGGACTAACCATGTTTATAATTAGGCAAGGTAAAAATTTAAATTTTTGGTATGCTGTCAGTGTTCACTACACAACGGTTTTCCAGGTAGACATTTTAGTAGCAACTATGGAAGAATGTACATACTCATTATCTGAAACTATTTGATGTGCGTTGTATATGGATAAGACACAAATATAGTCCTTTCAAAGAATCATATCCTTACTAAACTTTTACTTATAACTCGAGGATTGTTTTTTTTTTAATTTCTTTCAAAATAGTTAATATCTGGATTTTGTTAGAATCTGACAAGAGGGTACAGATAATACTTAGCCTTCCGGGTAACATATTTTCTATCTGCCAGAGTAAAACAAAGCTACTAACAACGTAAAGAGGTTACAGTGAGTCACTGGTTGGCAGCAGGAAACTGTTCTTAAATACAATGCAATGATTGTTCCATTCGAAAAATCAGAAGGACGCTAATCGAGAACTTGGAAACATGCATCCAGCCAGCAGAGGGCAATCCCAGGCCTCTTAACTGGAGAATGAGGGCAGCGGCCACGATTCCCCAACAGCAGAGGGCAATGTGGTTCCATTCATCTATTGCAATGGCTTCAATACATGTTTTGATTCAAGGGTGAGCTTGTTTCCTCATTTGTCATAACCCAGCTCCTCTGACCTCAATGACTAACCCGTCTTTGCACTAATTTCCAAGTCAACATAAATAATAAAAGGTGAGTCCCATAACACCAGGGCCTTCCCCACACTGCTGGTTCTGTGTGTGTTCTGGATATTAGAATATCTGACTTGAAGGGAGCTTGTACCTGTGTCAGAGATAAAATAGAAAGGTCAGAAGGTGAAAGCTCCAGAAAGCGAAACTGCATTGCCTTTCTACAGCAACTAAAGGGCAGGACTCCACTGGCCCCTGCACCTGCAGAGGACTGCCAGAGTCCCTGCTGCTGATGGGAGTATTTCTGAGGACATGACTCTAGTCCAGGATTCTCTGGTGGCCTTTGGATCTCCTGTTCCTTGGGAAAACTTACCTTTTCTCAACACCTCCATTCTTTATCCTGTGAAATAAGACCTCCACACTTCCCCGATGCTGGTATTTTTGTTTGTATGTGTCAACAAAGGAAACAAATTGGGGAGAAAGAGGGGGCAGGATTTGTACCTTTTTGTATCTGACATATCCAGTTGTTGAGATGTTCACAGTTGATATCATTCCAGGACATGCCAGGATCACCTTTCAGCTCGCCACAATATTCAACATTTTGGTAATTATTTGGCTCACCGTAAGCCCAATTTTCATAGGAAACCTATGGTGGAAACATCACACTTGGTGTGAACCACAACACCAGGTTGCTAGGCTGTGCTAGAAACATTAGGCTGCAGATTTTAACGACGGATACCACACCAGTACAAATCCAAAACGGGGGACGAGAAAAATTGAGCTGTTTGGATTCTTCATTCATTTTGAGTTTTACGTTTAGCTTGGGAAGCACATTTTATGGGCATGAGTGAGAAAGAAACAGCTTTTATTACATGGAAACTTTTGAAGCCGACTATGGTAGGGAATTGGTTTTTATAACATTTCCTTTATTCCCATTAAGCAGAATGGATCCAAGGGCCACAGCAGTAGGATTTATATGTAGGAAAAAGTTACCAAGAAACTTCCACATCTCAGTCAGCAGTTGTAATTTCCTAAATTTACAGCCCATTCTTAAGGGATGATATTTCAGTAAGTTGTTGGAAGCTTTCCCTCTATTACACAGGCTACAGAAAAATAATTAGAGAAGAAAAGGTCTTATAAAATGTGGCTAACGGAATGACCAGCCTTTGCCAAAATGAACAATGGAAACAAACTGAGGACCTGGGTGGTTTTTAGTGATCAGAGTCTGGAGGGGTCTGGGTTAAGAATTATGATCTCTTTTCCATAAATACAAACATGAAATCCAAACACCAATGCAGCCACCAAAGAAACCATGACACCTAAGTAGCTTAGAAGATGTCTGTGGGTTCTAAGAGCAAGCAGTATTAATATCATAAAACATCTTTCCCAAGATGACCGGGATCACTAATTGTTGCTAGCAAAAGCCAGAGCTTCTCATTTCTCAAATTTGGAGAAGTCCATCTGACTCCGACGGCTACCAAAGTTGTGTCTAGTTTCATTGAGCTAAAGGCAGCTGCAAAACAGCTTTGAAGATATTTAACCACCTATATGCTGGTTTTGTGCAGAATGGAGTCATTTAGTATAAACTGGGAGGCGTGGCCTTTCCTTCCTTAGGTTATTCTCACTCGTAGCTATGTTTAAAGTATGTGGAAGCTGGGCAATGAGTCTCTACTACACTTGTATTTACTTTACATAAAATGTCGCCAACTGTCTTAATGGCATACCTTGATAAAACACCAATTAATCCAAATGATGATGGCAAAATAAATATACTACAGGGTAAAAAAAAAACCGATATATTTAAAACTACTTACAGGAGAACCATCACTCCAGGTGAAACCCTCTGAAGGACTTCCATAGGTCAATCCCAACCAAAACAGCTCATGGTAGCTTCCACTGCTCCTGCAGCATACAAAGAAAGAATATGCCACATCCTGGAAGGGACTTCAGTTTTTCAAAGGACCATCAAGAGTTGATAGGTCCCTCTAAAACACACATTAGATCATTAGGTAATACACAAGCAAAGAGAATAACAATTAAATGTGTCCTACAAAAGCAATCGCTTCTGGTGGTTACTGTTGAGTGTACACTTGATGGGCTTAGAATCATCTAGTAAGCAAGTCTCTAGACACATCTATGAGAAGTTATCTAAATTATATTAGTCTTGAGGCATGCCTGTGAAGAATTATCTTGATTAGACTGAAGTGGGAATACCTACTCTAAAAGTGGGTGGCACCATTCCTTGGACTTGTGTCCAATACTGTATAAAAAGATTGTTAGCTAAGCACCCCCACTAATTTTCTATTTCCTGATGCCAATCCAATTTTCATATTGCTAATGCAATGTGACCGGCTGCTCTCCTACTCCTATGACCATGCTTTCCTGCCATGATAGATATGAGCAACCTCTCATGCTATAAGCCACAGTAAACCACATCACCTTTAAGCCACATCACAGCAAGAGAAAAGTAATTTAGAAAACGTGAATTTGGGTACCACTTATCAATGTCTTGAACATGGACCACGATTTGGGGAAGAGAAGAGGATCACAGTAAAGTATCAAAAGATATTCATTCTTTCAAAGATATATTGGATGTCTTGTACATTTATAAAGTGATTGGTTGTAGGATTTATAATTATTAAAGTATTTTGAACTGAAACTAAGTCAAATATTTTTCAGCATTATAGGTACCATGTGGGTAATGCACAGCAGCCCTGTGCAGAAGAGGGACTTACGTAATCAGCCTCCATATCACTTGCTGTTCATCTTTGCTCTTGATACTCGCCAGCTCCCCACCTATAGCTTTGCAAAAGTCTCGAGATTCAAACCACGTTTTCTTTTCATGTTTTCCCTTTGCATACAGCTAAAAAAGAAAAGTATGGAAAATTATTTTACTTTTGGTAGCTGATTGAATCAAAATAAACAAGTCATCTGCTTTTAATGAGATGTCATTTGTAGACAAACCAAGAAGTGCCACGTTCCCAAACAATGCAGGTCTCTTGGTTGAAAATCAATTTCTGAGTGACTATTTGGACAGCTAAACACGGGGTAGGAGGTGATTTCATTTGAAAAAGCCTTACAAAATAAAAGCAGTTTAAAGCCTAGGGGAAATTAGATTAAAATATTGAAAGCTGAAGACATGTGGATTGGGTATGCAGATCATTGTGGAAGAGAAAGAGAGTAATTTGATTAAGTATAAAAAATGCATTGGGACACACACACACACACACACACATACACACACACACCCCAAAGTTTTGAAACAGAGAAAATAAACATGATTAAGCAAAACACTGCTCCCTTTGTCATCCTGTTCAACTTAAACAATGAGTAGCCTGGCAACATTTCAACCATGTTGGTGATGTCCTTTGAAACTGTTGTCTCTTTTCCTTAAGTCTGCATATTTTAACAACTACTAGCACACACACCACAGAAGAATTTCATCTGACAGAAGTGGGTTAAAGTTAAATTTTACAGACTGTATAAGTAAGTACTAGGTCTTATCATCCTGAGAACTGCAAATAGGATCCACAGTGGTAGTATAGGGCATGCTTAATGATGCTAGCAGGAGCTCGCTAACTGTAGGGGATAAGGGAAAGGGCCCATGGTCAAAATGGCAAGTGGCTCACATGTTACAGTGAGAAAGGATTCAGGGAAAAGGGAATGTTATGGAAACAAATAAGTTTGCAGCAGAATGCAAGCTATCAAGCTAAATAGGCAAGAGGAGGGACTGGGCCCTGAGCTAGTGACTTCAGACCCACTGGTCTCCTGAAGCCCTTTCATACATCTTCTAAAGCAACTAACTAGAACAAATAAAAATAGCTGCTAAGAAGGCCTACCTATTCCAGGAAGGAGAACCTAGACCATTAACCTAAACCATTGTAGCTGATGAAGAACAAGGAGCATTTGGACTAGTTATCGGCCCTGTGCACGTATAGAGGAAGTAGTGGGCCAGTGACTGACAGCTAGTAGAAAGTCACAGTCTAACTAACCAACCTTAAGTCTGTAGGGAAGAAAGAGAGGCTCCACCTACCAGTAACTGGGTTGGCTACACAGGAACAGGACATGACCATTTCCTTGGTTAGGCCAGAAGAATATGCATAGAGTTGTCCCAACTAATTGGTCAACTAATGAAATTACCTTAGTCTTTGTCCAGTGTCTGCCATAGAATTAACCTGAACAAAGAAAATCAACAGCTTTTCCTCTTTGAGGAATTCCTTGCACTCTTGAGAGTTACTCTTGCTTTGCCTTTACTACTATTATTATTATTACTATTATTGTTATTGTCATTATCATCATCATCTTTTTTTTAATCTGGATCTTTTTTTATATAATTTATTTTTTCTCAAATCGTAATTCATTCACACAGGGGTTATAAACACAGAAAGGCAGGATGTGGGGAAGGGAATGACACTGGAATATGGGTGTTCAGGGGGAATACAGATATCTTTCAGAACTGGGTATCAGCTGGGTGAAGGTTCAGGGGACAAGTCACTATGACTCTGTCTATGACTCGCTTGTCCTTATCTAAGTTGGTATTGTCTGCCAAGGCTACCTATTTACAAGGTCTATGACTACTCAGGCTTGTAAATTTCCACAAAAGCTGTCTGTTTACATTAGCTTATAGCCATCTGTTTCAATGTTTTTCCACTGAGACCCAAGACTTGGTGTTAGCATACATGTATGACAGGCCTATTGCTGATTTTAGGCCTATGGCTGATTTTAGGCCTTCAGTGTGTAAACAGGGCTGCCCCTGACATCTCCTCCCTTCTCTAAGTATAGAAGGGCTGTAGCAATTCTAAACTTGTGAAAGTGGGGATAGAGGCCTGACCTCCAGTATTTGAAGGGGACCTTGTAATGGCTCCAGTCCCCCTGTCATTGTCCAGTGAGGCATGAGGGCCATACCCGTCCCGATGTCTTTTTCCTGGAGAGGGGATACTTTTGACATCAACCCCTATGCAGTCAGGCTTGTCCCTCAGGGAACCCAGACAGATATTTTTATCTTTTGTTTATATTCCCTTGCAGTGCTTAACCTCGCAGCCTAAGCAAGAATTCAGATCGCCTTGGGTACAGAGCTGCCGCCTGTGACCTGCTCTATGCTTGGGCCCAGACCGGAAGTCCCCCATCATCATCTTTCCATTTGTTATTTTTCTATAATTCTCTCTCAGAAACTGTGTTTCTGCTTTGCTTAATCTGACAAACATCATCTTTAACCTTTGTTGGCACTCAGATAATGAAATCAAGAGTTATTCTCTCGGGTTTATTTTTGGTGACTGTTTTTGGGTCAAGGATACCTAGGTCAAGAAAGATACCATTTCTCTAAAATTAAAAAAAAATTAAACCAGAACCACTAAGCAAGCAGAACCAGAACTCGATGGAGCCACCAGTTTTTAAGGTTTTCTTTCATTATTGTTCATGAGTCATGACTCCCACCAACATAGGCTTGCAGAAAAGGAAGCAGCTTCCTATGGGTTGTGGCTGCCTAGGTGGCTAACACCAATACCTTGACCTGGACTTGGCTTGAGCTCCACAAGTAAGTGTGTCTTAAGCCAGCTTAGTCAACAGCAGCTCCCTCAATCCTACCTCAGCTTCCTGCATCCTGATATTGGATTTGTTTCCTTATTTACCCAATGAATAAAATTAATTTCCACATCTTAGAATTTATAAAAATAACTTTCATGTATGTAACAAACACTACTTCAAATACTTCTGAAACAACATAATTCATACTGAGGCACATAATTGGATCTTGTAAACATCTGGATTTTGTCGTTACTGTAATTCCTAGTTCACAGCATAGCTACAAACAAATCTACTGTTATCAGTCTCTACAGCCCATTTTACCTTCAGGTATTTGTACCGTGATGAGGGGGCATTTGAATGATGATGCATAATTTCCAGTATCTATTTTATAAATTTTCTCTTGCTTTGCCCCATATATTCCCTTTCGTGCGAATTATGTTTAGATCTTAATAGTCAAACTAGATTAAACAACACATGGATCTCCACATCTACAAATAGGAGTTCCAGTTCAATTAGACATTCCCTTCTCCAGTTAGAGCCAAGACAACTTTATTTTCTCACAGATTTTTTTTTCTTTATTTAGCACTGAGGATGGACCCAGTGTCTCTCACTTGCTAAGCAAGGACTCTACCCAGAGCACCTCCCTAGGCTCTGATTGGATTCTTCAAGTCTCACTCAACTGTCTTGTGAAATATGTCAGAATCATGTGCCTTTGAAAGGAATTGGACAAAAGAGGATCATAAGACTTTATCATTAAGCAGTACTTACATTTCTGTATTAGAGTAAATTTAAATTTTTCTGGGAAGTTTATGGCAACATAGAGAGGGGAGGAGGGGATGAAACAAAACCTTATTTCACTGGAGCTGTGATGTTTTGTTTGGTTGGTTGATTTTGGTTTTGTTCCTATTTGTGTTTGACTGGTTGATTATTTTGGTGATTGCATAAAGAGAAAACAGAGGGTTCAATCTAAGAATATGTAAAAATAATGACAGAACACTGAATCCCCATTTAAAGGAATTGAGGGGCTATGCACATTTCCATCATCCACCATTATAGTTATTAAGTGTTAAATTAGAGAAGTAGAACACGAACTATGTAATACTGACACAATATAGTTATTGACCAGTTTTTTTCAGTTAAGCTAGCTAACGTTCAGGCTTGAAGGTAAAACAAAATGCCAGAGGTCAGAGTAAGAAAGAACAGATGTTTTCTTAAAACGAGCATTAGAGCATTACAAGATCAGTACAGGGCTCGAAAGTAACGGAGGAGAAACAAAGAGGGAATGATTGCAACAAAGGAGATGAGGCAAGAGGTCTGAGAGTCCTATCTGGACTGTTGCCTGTGTCTGTGGATCTCAGTTAATGAGTCGTTTTTCTCTATCTATGGCACTCACCATCAATAAAATCAGATTAAAATTTCTACAGGTGGAACAGGAGCTGGATGTTGTGTCTTCTGTAATTTGACTCTAGTTCTTGGATATATCAGATTCTTTATTAGTTTGACAAGTGATTCTTACCTTGAAACACATGCTGGTTTTACTGGTGGTACCCCAGTCTTCTGGACATTTGGGTTCAGGAGTTGTCGTGGGCTCTGGTGGGCGAGTCACTCCTTCTGCCCAATGTTTGCACACAAATTTTGCCTTTTCTTCACAACCCAAAACATCCCATAAACCACCTGCCACTCCGGTTTTCATGGCAACACATCCTGCCTTTCGTCCTGCATTAAACAGAAAGTAGAACTCAATCAATGCGTTGCATACTGACGACCCACCACGCTCAAAAAAGGCAATCAAATTGGTGAGACAGTGTGGCTCATTCCTGCATGTAAGAATGAAACATAGCATTTGGAAAGGTAAGTTGCCATATTTTGTCTTTTATTTGTGTGGTCTATATTCCCAACATGATCATCATAAGTATGGGAAGTTTCAATAATGTCTTATATTTTCCACATCTGGCAGGGTGGTCCACATTTAGACATTTGACGATAAAATATTTCTGCTATAATGGCAAAGATAATAGCATAATGGATTTTCCTTCCTGTCTTCTGCAGGACTTCCTCCCTTTCCTTTTTAATTCTTTGAGGTACTCCCCTCCCCACCGTGATCCACTTCAGCCTTCAGGACCAAAGCACTTGATAAGATGTCCAAACAAGACACATCTGGGTTTGAGAATTTGGGAACGGTACTCAAGCGCTCTTGTTTCCTTGTCTTAAGGTGTAAACTGCAGGCTCTCCTATGCAGAGCGGTGATGTAGGTAGTGAAGAAGTTCAGGAAAATCAAAATGATCCCAGTAGAATTAAGTTTGTAATTCTGTTTTATGGCCATTGTAGTAAGCAAGTTCACATAGAGGTTTAAAAACATCAAGACTCCTGCTGCTAAGAGGAGCTAATGTTATCAGTAGTTTTCAAGGGATCTTAAATGCTTAAATGTTTATTATCATAGTTCTAAGAAGACATATATCCTTTCTAATTCATTTTCTCTAAAGCCCCCAATTTCCTGAGACTGTTTTCAGATTCCTACAGTCATCTCCTCTCCATTACAGTCTTGTACTGAAACCAACTACTACTGCACTGGATGGCAGCTGAGGCTGCTGTGACACACTGACCACCTTGGTTAAAAGAGTCATTCATCTTTCTTGATACTCAGGTCAGGCCCCAAATGCCTTGCCTGTTCTTGAAGCTGGACGTTTGGGCACTCAGTCATCTTTCCATCAAGTAGATACAGGATAGTAGGAACTAAGGGCAAGGTTATGGTGCCAGCACATGGAGGGCTGAAGCTGGAGGGTCTTGAGTTTAAGACCAGCCTACAGAATGAACACCATAGGGAGTTCTACCAGCTCCATAGTGAGTTCCAGTCTAACCCTGGACTATACTACAACAAGAGACCTTGTCTCCAAGACTCTCAATGGTCACAGCTGAGTTATGGTTCTAGTTTAATGAATTTTTATTCTTCAAGGTATTCCAGGGCGCATCATTCAGAATCCTCCTGGCGAATAAGTAACTGAGGCAAAGTAAAGCCACCACAGTAAGAACTATGACTTTCACCAAAATTGAAACAAACAAAACAAGAATGTGTTCATTTACATGATCTGGAATCTCACGGCTTCTAGAATGTTGAATGATTTAATAATCAAAAAGCAGTTGTACAAACAATAATCTGACTGAGGACATCAGTTCCCCACTCAAAGCTGCTTATACAAATTTGAATGACAGCTGGAGATTAGGATGTATTGGGCCAAGTAGCAAACCCATGTTTATTTCTCTGTTAGTTTGTGATTCTTGCACACTGACTTGTTTTCTGTAAAGGGTATTAAACTGTCTGAGAGATGGCATAGTCAGTTATATCATTTGCCAGTTACATCAGTGTAGAAAGATGATAAAGGAGCTTTTATGGTCTGTTAGAGAGGCCACTTCGGGTCTCCAGTTAAAGAAAGCAGGTCAAAATACTAGGGCAGTTGGTTGGTCCAAAACCAGATATCTCAGACTATCTCTCTACCCAGATTAGTATAAGTCTAGGCTTGGGCATGTCTACTCTTATAAATCCCGAGTTTCAACTTCCACATCTTTTAAATGAAGATAATTAAATGCCCCTTGTTATTCTTGGAAAGATAAAATAAAATCCGATGTTTGTAAGGGGTTAATGACAAAGATACACGGAAGAAATTGGAATGATGATTCCCATGAGCACTCTCCTTAGTCCCACCATTCAGGGACATTCATATTCATATTCAGCCCCACTGAAAAGTTTTACATCTACTTCCTATAGAGTCCGGTTTTGGGGAAATTAGGCAGACATTTATAATATCTGAGAGCACTTGACATGTTTCATCTTTTTGAATACACAGAACCAAATTACTTAGCAATATTCTCTTCCTCTTTGTCCCAAAATACTGCAAGCTGGATGGGAGGACACGGAGGAAGAGAAATGTAAAGATTACTGAAACACAATTGACTCGCATGCTGCAATGGAAAGGTGTATGGAGGACCGAAAGGCTCAGCTGGCAGGGGTGAGGGAATGCCCTGAGTACAGCACCCCCATACCTGCCCTGAACACAACACCTGCATACCTGGCATGTCAGCATTCCAGTGTGTAAACTGCACCTGCTCTTCCACAGTCCAGCGAAATGTCCCTTTGTTTTGAACATCTGACAGTCCTGTCCAAAAATATTTTTCAGGCCTCAATCCAACCAAACTAGTCAGGAATGCTTGTTCATATCTTTAAAAGAATTAAATTCAACTAAACTTTAGAAACATTTATACACATTGCTTAAATTATCAACATGAAAATTATTTCAATCATATATCTGAATTATGATTTTGATGATAAATTCAAACAAAACATTTCTATTCTATAGCTATTTCCTCTGGATTCTAACATTCTCTCTTAAAGACAGACCATATCTCATAGCTCCAGGAAGCTAAGGAAACTTAGAAAGCTCAGGAGGTTTATGAAAGTTACAAGACTCTCAGGACTTCTCCCTGGGATTATAGAAACAATAAATATTTGCTAGGGAGGTGAGATTCTTCAATGGAGCTCCCTGTAAGTTGTTCAGGGAGTGTCAGGGATGGAGCCTTCATGAATCATCACCCATGCTGAGGTGGGCTTTCCAGTGAGGAAGCTGTCAATGAATCACTCATACTCATATATGGAACCTTTACTCACACTCCCCCTTAAGGTACCCCATAAACTCCCTGATTCACCAAGCTGAACCTGGGTCCAATCATTTCCTTTATGATCTGGCATGAATAAACATTTCATAACTTCCCACAGAGAGTCACACAGGAATCATAGCTTTATATCATTTACATTATAATATTCTTCACTAAGAAAATGTAAGTTTATGAAGTTAAACTACCATCTAGCTGAGTGGATCAATTCACTCAGACATTTTTTGCTCATTATCATATTGGCCTCTCTAGCCTTCACAAAATTTAACAGAACATTGGAAATACAAAGGAGAAAACTACAGCAGTTGGAAAAAATTATTTGAAACGACCAGTCTACTTTTTACACAGGTCAAGTGTCCTGCTCAATTCTTGATTACAAATGACAGGGTTATCAAGGAGAATCACAAATTGGGACCATCATGTTTCTTTCCCTTTTCAGTGATAACGCAAAGCAATCAAGATCTTCCTTTGCTTAAAAAAAAAAAAATTGAAACGATGCAGGGAACTTGGGCAGAAACGTCTCAGAAAAGAGGCACTCCATTTTCAGAAACATGGAGAGCCTGGGAGAACAAAGAAGACTGTGGAACCTGCTAAAAATGGCAGATGCCTTATTTAACCATAGTTCGAATAATTCCAGATACCTAAACACAGCAACCAAAACGCTATAAGGTCAATTTAGCTTTTAAAACATGAAAAGCAAATTTAATGACAGTTAGTAGGTTGCTAAATACAAATAGCTCAGAGAACTCATGCAGAATTTCTTGTACATGATTCTTTAACCAAACAGCCACAGTGCAGGCCAAAATGTATCCCCATGGTACTTAAACAATTCACCTTCTCCATCTTAAGAGAAAGCATATCTGTGTTCTTGTAGTCAGACGTTTATATTAGCATGTCAATGCCATGAGAGGAAGATGCAGTTTGAAACACAATCCTTTGATATCTATTTTTATCACAGGATTTTTAAATATCAACAGGACTCTGTGGATTTTGAGTCTGCCCTGAAGCAATAAAGTGTTACTAACTTTTAAAACTTCTGAAGCTTCTTGAATGCTTCTATAATCCAAGCTTTGAAAAGAAAAAAAAATGAAGAAGTAAATAAATCTCAAAAATGGATGGAATCTCAGAGGTTAAAGTTACATTTTTAAATTTCTATTTAAATTTTCTATTTTCTGTTTGATTTTCTTAGCCTATCAGTCCTATCAGTCTATTAGTCAAGCGTAGCGAAACTTCACTGATTAATTAATTAGTTAACTAAAAGAATAGAAAGAATGAGTAAAATATTTGCAGATGTTGCAATATATATTTAGGAGGTTGGGATCATAATTTTGGGCCTCTGATCTGCCTTCTTTAGAAATAAGTGATAAGACCCATCCTATCAATCCCAGAGATCTATGTACCACACTCTGGAAGGAGAGAGGCTGCACACACCAAGAGGCAATGAAGAATCATGGCATGTGCCGGGTTTCCTTGCTTACTCTATTAGCAAGTGTTCTCAAGCAATAGGGTCTCTCAAGCAGCTCACAAAGTGTTCAGAAAGCTTCCACATGGCTGACTGGGTGGAGATTCCTGGATGGTGACAGGATGGCAGAAAAGATGGAATCTCCATGTACCTTGTCTTCCACTTCACCCTATGTCTCTTCACCTGTATCCTTATGTAGCTCTCTCTCCTCCCTCTCCCTCTCCTCCCTCTCCCTCCCCTCTCCCTCTCCCTTTCCCCCTCTCCCCCCCCCCTCCCCCTGTGTGTGTGTGTGTGTGTGTGTGTGTGTGTGTGATTCACATATGAAAACCAGAGATCAATGTTGAGTATCTTCTTTACTCTCTCTCCACCTTGCAACCTTGAGTTTTGAGTCTGGGTCTCCTGAACCTGGAACCACCAGTTCACTCAGGCTGTCTGGGCTAAGGGATCCTCTTCTATCTTCCATAGAGCTAGGATGACAGACACATACTACAATGCCTGGCCTTTTCCCTGGGTGCTGGGGATCTCAGGTCCTCATGGTTGCATGACAAGCTCTATATTCACTGAGCCCTCTCCTCTGACTCTCTCCTTATGACATCCCCCAAGTGAATCATGAAGTGTAAGTGCTTCCCAGAGTTCTCTGAGTTGTTCAAGCAAATGACCGTAACCTAGTGTGGGGTTGTAGGAATGCCTTTCTATAGCTGGCCATTCAGAAATGCAGGCAACACAGCTTAGGGCTTGCAATTGGACCTGCCATGAGTAAATACAACCTCCAGAGAACCAAACCCTGCCTATGGGATCTGACATTATTGCTAAGCAGGTAACATAAGAACTGAATTGAGTTCAGTGATCCTAGGGTGGGGTCACTGAAGAATTGCTAGCTGAGTGTTCTGTAGGCTTCACAGGGGAAGACTTAAGGGGAAGTCTTGATACCTTTGAGATTATAGAATTGACTTGACCTGTGAGTGTGCATTAGGAAAGCATATATGTGAGCTGGTCTTTCCTCTGAGTCAGTCCCCTATGCCCCTCTTCCACAGAGTGAGAGCTAAAAGCACAAAATAGGGTGGTACCTGGACAAATCTTCCTCGTTTTTTTTTTTTTTTTTTTTGCTTTAAAATTTGACAGCTAACACATTAGAAAACACTTGGTCTGTAACATACATTCAGTAGATTAGCCATACACTTCTGAATACGGATGCCAGTCATGGTATCTCACCCTTTAAGCCAACATCTCAAGGCCAGTCTGATCTACATAGTGACTTCCAACCAGCCAGGCTACATAATAAGACCCTGTCTTACAAGTAATGTTTTAAGTAAACAGATGCCTAAAAGTAACAAACATAGCTTTGTAGTGTTTTTAATTAAGCCAACAAATAAGAGTATTTTAAACAGTTCTACCTTTATAAAACATGACTCAGCAACATATGTAATCTACTTCAATATGTATAGCACGCAACGCTAATTTTTTTTTTTAACAATTTCACCATTTGGTTTATTTTAGAATAAGGTTAATATAGTTCCATACCTGTCTTCAACTGTTGTTAAATAAGCCTTCTCATTTGTGCATGTTTGGTTTGCGTCAGCAAATGTTGAAAGGGTGGGTCCAATCCAGTAGCAGTAAAACCCATGCCGTTTCCAGCCCTATGAACACCATCATGTAACAAGCAAGCAAGAAGGTTACCACGCATATTTATTAGGAAATACTTTTAAATAGTTCCTTCCTGTAACACAAGTTAATAAACAGGAGAGTCTAAAGGAAACACATCAGGATGCTATTAAATGCAATCCTTATTGCATGGAGTTGCTTATGCATTTGAAAGATGAAAACAGCATGACATTGTCCCTCACAGGACAGACAATGACACTAAAGGAAGGGTAGGCTGTCCTCTGGCATTTGAGGCATCCTGCAAGGCACACTACTTGTGAAATGACCCCTCAGGAAACCAAATAATACAGCACAGGATCCATTTCACATGAGGTCATCCCAGAAAATAACTTGAGAACTGTAACCGTAGATGTCTACTGATGTCAAATGTAGGTGGTGAACACGAAACTGTATCTCCTGGCCATTGGATTTCATGCATTCTTTTCCCACATTTCAAATACACAAAATACTACATAAGATCATGCAAACTCAAATTCCAGCGAAGAGTTTGAAAGGAACTAAGGAACTCTCCAGGTACAAAAAATCAAGTTGAAAGCTAAACTTTAGGTTGGCTAGGAGTATATCAATTGCACACTAGGGTCTGGGAGCAGGGTCCTGCTGTCAACACAGAGCATAGTATTTGGCTTTCTTCTGTGATGAGAGTAATGGAAAATTCTAGCTACACAACTCCAAGTTAACAGGCCTATTATCTGCTTGGTGTGTTAAATTTCAAAAAAGAGTCTTATGTTTCAAAATAAATGCCATCCACATATGCCTGCAATGCCAAACTTATGAGACTTAAAAGTTAGATTCCAGCCTGGGCTATATACAGCAGGACCTTGGAAGATAGCCAAAGGTGGGTAACTGTATCTCAGTGATGGAGTGATTGCTTGCTGTTTTCAAGGCTGGGGTTTAAAGAACAATACTGCAAAAATTCAATCAATTGCCAAGACTATGCTATAGAGAAGGTCTAATTCCAACATTGCTGTGCAGACATTGTGTGTCTATATTACCAAATGACAAAGTAGTGTTTTGTTTCCACAAAGAGAATATCTTAGATATTCTAAGAAGAATAAAAAAAACTACATAATAGAAAAACTTCCACAAACCAGGCCATAGGAGGAGCCAGATGGACACTAACTCACACACAAAAGTTATAAACTATTGGAGAAGTTGTCTTGTATTAGGTGAGAACAATCAGAAACCTGTATTACACAGATAATCATGTTTGAGATGATTTAACAACCAAACATAAAATAAAAATCAAACTGTCGAATATTTAAACTAAAATAGAGCTTCTAGAAGAGGAAAATAATATAGAAATGAAGTTTAAAACAATCAGATTAAATACAGTAACTAGGGTTTCATAGAGAAATAGTAAGTTAGATAGATGGATGGGAAGACAAAAAGAAGCTTAAAACATAGAAAACATATTTTTCCTATGGAAATATAACCACTACTTTTAGTGGTTTGACTACGGTTGGCCCAGGTACTGGCACTATTAGGAGTGGCAATGTTGGAATAGGTGTGGCCATGTTGGAGGATGTGTGCCACTGTAGGGGTGGGCTCTGAGGTGCTATGCTCAAGCTCTGCCCACTGCAGAAGAGTCTCTCCTCAATGCCTTTGGAAGACAGTCTCTTCTGCTGTCTTTGAACCAAGATTTCTTGGTAGAATTCTTGGCCCCTGAAGCACTATGCCTGCCTTGACACCATACTTCCTGCCATGATGATAATGGACTCAACCTCTGATACTGTAAGCCATTCCCAAAGAAATGTTTTCCTTTATAAGAGTTACCTCAGACATGCTGTCTCTTCTCAGCAATAAAACCATAGACACTCGTACTAAGGGTAAAGTGCTTGTTGAACAGGTACAAGGACTGGAGTTCAAACCACAATTCATGTAAAAGCTAGGTAGGTGTGGCAGCCACCTATAATCCCAACACTCAAGAGGCAGAGACAGAAGAGCCCCAGGTAAAGATAATTAGCTAGATAAGTAGCCAGAATTAGTGATCTCCAGGTTCAATAAGAGACTTTGCCTCTGTACATAAAAATGAAAGGTAATCAAGCAAGATACCCAGCACTAATGTAGGACACAAACATGTACATACACACACACACACACCTGAACACAGGTGAACAGGCATGTGCACTACATACATATATAAAAAAATAGAGAAAAACTAGACACTAGGATACTGAAAATATACTTAAAACAAGTATCCGAAGTACAGTGAATAGACTAAAAGAGTGACATATGGTTCAAGAATTGAAAGGTAAATACAAGACCTCAAAATCAAGAATTCCATACAACAACAACAACAAAAAAATGAGTCATAAAAATGAAATGAATAAAATACATTTGGGGTTGAATCATAATAAAAACAAAGTTTTAAAGAATGGCTAATCAATGGTCTCAGTTCCACCTTTCTTTCCTGTTAGTACTTAAAACATGCATTTACTCTTTATCCCTTAACTCTTAAGTCAGGCTCAAAAGTGGCTCAGAACTACTTTGTGCTAACATCTTTGTTTAGCATTTTTTGCTCTGGTAGCATAGAAGAGAAAGTGGAATCCCCTGAGGTTGGTGAGACAGCTCAACTTGGTACAGAATATGCCCTGTAGACTCAAGGGTCTAAGATCAATACCCTAGAAGAAAAGACAGGTCTCCTACTAAGGTAGTCACCTCCTGTAGCCAAGCAAGGCTTCCAGGAGAGGGAGGGAGACACCAATCCACCCACAAAACTTTTGACTCAAAATCTGTCTTGTCTACAAGATGTGCAGAGATAAAGATGGAGCAGAGATTGAGGGAAGGCCACCCAATGACTGGCCCAACTCAAGGCCCATCCCATGGAAGAGAGCCAACTCCTGACACTATTAATGATACACTATTAATGCTATGCTTGCAGACAGGAACCTAGAATAACTGTCTTTTGAGAGGCTTCATCCAGCAGCAGATGGAAACAGATGCAGAGACCCACAGCCAAACATTAGGAGGAACTTGGGAGTCTTGTGGAAGAGTAGAGGGTAGGATTGAGGGTCAAAAATACACCAAGAAGACCTACAGAGTCAACTAACCTGGGCCCATGGGGGCCCTCAGAGACTAAGCCACCAACCATTAAACCATGCATGCGCTAAACCTAGGGCTCCCTTGGTGTCCATGTGGGTCCCCTAATAATTGGAGCAGGGACTGTCTCTGATTCTGTTGCTACCTTTGGATCCCATTCCCCTACCTGGACTGGTCTCAGTGGGAGAGGATTCACTTAGTCCTGGTGGGACTTGATGTTCCAGTGCAGGTTGGTACTCAATGGGGGGCTTCCCATTCTCTGAGGAGAAGGGAAGGAGATAATGAGAGGAGAGATTTGTGAGGGTGAGACTGAGAGGAAAGGAGGCTGCAATCATGATGTAAAGTGAAGAAAGAAAGAAAGAAAGAAAGAAAGAAAGAAGGAAGGAAGGAAGGAAGGAAGGAAGGAAGGAAGGAAGGAAGGAA